TGAAGGATCATATAAATGAAATGTTCTTTTTCTGTCTTTCCCTCCATCAGTCTGTCTGCAGTAAGCAGACAGAGACACTGGCTTACACATTGAGGCGTGCACACAATGACACGTGTGCATACACACACACACACACACACACACACACACACACACACACACACACACACACACACACACAGAAGCCACAATGACATATCCCAGCGAGTGTTTCAGCTTTTCTTGTGACAACAATAAACTAGGGCCAGGAAAAAAAAGAGAATGGCAAGAAAAGACACACAAACATTTCATTCCTGCTCTGACTATGAGGTCAGTAAAGGCCAAATATTCAACTGTGTTATCTTCCTAATTTGTGTTTTGCTGTTATTTCTGTCTCCCCATAGAGGGATGTATCGACTAAAACAGTGGCAGAACTTTTTGTCTCAGTGGTTGAAGGGGAGAGTGATTTGTTTGACTTCATGCTTGGAAGCACCATCACTCTAAACTTGCAGTGTTAAGACAGCTGGCGCGCTCTGTGCCAATGGGAAAATGGCCTTTTGATTATTTACATGTGAAAAAGTGTTTACGTTAAAGTAAAAGGGTATGTCTTTTTTAGCAACTATAAAATAGTGTATTGTCATTACAAGTTCAACTTCACTGTGAGCTTGTTGGTGAACTGCAAATGAATAATATAATTTTTTTTGACAAATTTACATCAGAAGGTTTAAAGTTTCACATTTTTATGTCTTCCATAAAATGTGATTCACGAGCATAAAAATCTTTTATAAAGTCTTTAATATTTTAATAGTAGTTGTACTTTACAGTTTTTCATTTGCTTAGAAACTAAAATGTTGAATCATTGTTGCACTGTTAAGATTTTGCATACTGAGCTTTCAGTTGTTTTTGATGAATGTCCTCATAAGATGCTCGAGAAGCAGAGTGGGATTTTCATGCACAACTTCACCAACTAGCAAGGTGCATGAAGAGTGGAAGGCTTGAATAGGTCAAGTCTTTCTTTCCTTGCTGGAGCTTTTTGACCTCATAAGTTGCTCGGTCTAACACTTTAAATGTCCTGAAAATCTAAAATCAGATCACTCCCGGCTTCATCATAAATGATATTCAACATGTAACTGTCTAGAATAACCCGATTCTTGTAAGCTCTCTTAAAAATGTGACAAATTCCCTGTGTTTTCATATAAAGAATATGAAAACATCTGATTCAAGACTCTGAGAGAGAAGGTAGTCTTTTGAAATAAACCCATTTACATGTACCTAGCCTAACTTTGACTTAAGCATAAATACACACAATCCATATTCTTGAACATGTAGGTGTATAGTAAACAGTCTGCTTATATACGGTGTATATATATTTTTAAAGATTTATTTTTGTGCCTTTAATGGAGAGATATGACAGTGGACAGTGCCGGATATCAGAGAGAGAGAGAGAGAGAGAGAGAGAGTAGGGAATGACATGGCCACAGGTGGGACCCGAAACCGAGCCGCCCGTTTGGAGGACCACAGCCTCCACACATGGGGCGTGCACACCAACCACCGCATCACCAGCGCCCCTCTGCTTATATTTCTGAATAGCCCTGATGTTACCTCTGTTCTGTTGTAGATTTCAATGTGTCCTAACATTTATTACACAGTGTATGTCATGTATTCTCAATCCAACAAAAGTAATGGAAATAACAGGTCCTTAATGAGTCCTCTGCATCAGTGATACCTTCGACATCAGAAACATATGGGTCACTGTTAAATCTGGCAAAACTCTGTGGTTGGCTTGATTTTTGACAGAGAGGTACAAACCCAGACTCAAATTATTTTAACAAGGATAAGTGACTTATTATACTAGAGCACTACATTCCCTGAGTCCATTTAATAAAAAACAAACCAACTGCTACACAGATGGTTTCATTTCAAAGTGATGCTACACTCCAGCTAATTATAACACATTGCTCCCACCTTTCCACACCTGACTGCACCGCTAACAATACACCAGAGTGAACCAGGCAAGTTTGAGGCTTATCGCCGTTGCTGACATGTTCCTGATGGACAGCAGACATTTTTTTTTGTAAAGGTTACCCTGACAGCCCGACTCATGTCCTGATAGAGAACATAATGAAACATTGCACGTGCCGTTGAGTGCTCTCCCCCCCCCCCCCCCCCCCCCGCCCCCCGCAGCATTAAGAGACTTCCAGGGAACCCTAACGAACACAGAGGACGTAATCAGATCAAACTCGCTTGAAAAGTGGAGCGGAGCCATAGTTTAGAGTCTGTTGTGCTTTGTTTTGATGAGGTGAAGGTCATTGCACCTGCCACAGATGTGTGTGTTCACCTTCATTTTGGAAGAGTAGGGTTTAAGCATATGAAGGTCGTGTTATTCCCGTACTGATCTCAAAGGTTGTGTGTAGGTTGAACAAACTGTGTTCTCCCTTCTCTGTACAATAATTGATTGTAACCTGAAAGTAAAAACTAAATCAGCTGAGTTTGACAAAAGAATCAAAGACTCTTACTCCATACTACAACACTTTCTGCCCTGAATATCTCAGAAAATAGTTTGTTTTGGAAAGTCCCATATTTTTTTTGGATGTCTCCTCTGCCAATTTGTGGCATTTTCTCTTAAAACCATGATATTACCTCAGTGGTCGCTCTTTTTTTCCTTTCTTCCTGTTTCTTGTCCTGTCCTATCCTTGCCTTTTATCTCGGCCCTCGTGTTTTTTTTTTCTTGTCCCTTTGATTTGATTTCCTTCTTTTCCCTCTACTCAGTAAATCTCTGGCATGTGTATTCATGTTTCTCTTACCATATTCTTTGCCTTTTTTGGTGAGTCTCGGAGTCCCTTTCCCCTGAACGTCTGTGGTGCCAGTTGCCTCCTGGCACTTATGATTTGGATTATTTGATTATCTTTGCTGAAGACTATCACAGATGTTTTCATGAATGCTTCTCCTGATCTCACAGAGAGGGTCCAGCAGATGGATAGACGGGGCGTAAATCCTCGTCTGAGTGGGGAACGATAATGATTTTGACCCTGGCCTTGGCTTGGGTTAGCCTCGTCTAGCTTAGCAACAGGCACCGCAGAGGTCCAGACAGCAGGACGTTACTTTTGTGTACACTTTTAACCGACAACCCCTCCTGATGGACCTAAGGATTTGTCAACAACACGCAAACTAAGGATTTACTCCCCCAGGTCCCCAAACCCCCTGCTGACTCACAGTTGCACAACTGTTCATGAACACAAATGGACAGTGTGGACACTCATCTCAACAGACCTTAAGCTCTCTGTTGTGTATTAATACTCGTGCTCATATGTTTTATACATCTACTAATTCTGTAAAGTATGAAAATAAAACAAGTGGTCAGAAGTGGAGGGCTGATGGGATGTATTATAACATTATTAGTGATATGTATGTTGTCAAACCCTGGATTACTTTATTGAAATGTTATTATGCTATATAATAAAGATATGACATTTTTATTGGATATTTAAGATGATATATATATATATATATATATATATATATAAATATAAATATTTAACAAAGGATTGACTTAATATTGCATGAAACACATCACTGAATGTTAAATAAAGAAAAAAAGGAAACACAGATTTGAAGACGCTGCTATTCCAGATGTAGCCTATAGGGTCAAATAATCATGATAGGTAGCTTCATAAAAGTATTAAGACATTTTTTTTTTTTTCAAATGTTTATTATGAAAATCAGAAATGAATCCCGTAAACAAATCATAGAAGAAGTAAATGTCGTAAATAGCTAACTTGCATGCCTCTGGTGCTGGTCGTCAGCTGTGGTAGAAACTTTTTTTTGTTTAGTTCCAACTATTGCTGATTGTTATTCAGTGGCACAATGCCAAAAGGATTTAAGTTCTGTAATAATATGGGACTAGTTAAAGCTACAGAGCCTTATTTAGGGTAACATAGCTTTCATCATGAATCAATCATTTAATATCTTTCCAATCAGTTACTAATGGAAATGAATGACTTTCAGGTGGCCTTTATGTACTCACACTCAAACAGCTCAAACATAATTAGCTCCACAATGCTGATTATCATACGAACAGTTTATGTGTGTGGAGCCAAGGGATGTCAATCAATATCTGATAGGCCACACCCACACAGTCTTGAGAGCAAAATTTGTCTAATCAGCAAAAAATAGCTATTAATTGCATTTTTTTTTAACAACATTATAAATAGTTGCTTTTATTTGTATTCTATGGCTTAATGCAACTCTGGACTTTAATAACACATTTTCACTTTTACTTATTCAAGAGAAACTTTTAAAGGCTTTAAAAGGGAACAGATAGGAGATCGAACATACCAGATAGGCTCACGATCAACATTTAAAGGCCCGGCATTGTCATTGACTACTGTTGTTGTGTCCGTGTCGAGTGAGAGATATCTTAAGGCGACATATCTGTGTGGTGGTATAAGAGCTCATATCCGAATATTCCGAGTGCTTTCCATGTTGTGACCTGAATACCTCACCGTTGAATCTCAGCCAGCAGCTCGTTAACATTCCAATACAGCTCTAATCGCCACAGCAACTTGTGTGTGTGTGTGTGTGTGTGTGTGTGTGTGTGTGTGTGTGTCTGTGTGTGTGTGTAAGTGTAAATGGGTTTTTTTGTGTTCCAAAAAGATCATGCACGTGTGGCAAGTGATGACGCATTGAAAGTGTTTGAAGGAGTGACAACCACAGGTGATTGGAGGCGAGCGGCGTGATTGGATCCATATCCACTCCTGCTTCCTCCTGAACAGCAAACTGTTGTGCAACTTTTTCACAGCTGAGACCCATTTTACAAACTATTTTTATTGATCCCGTCATGAAACACGTGAAGAGAGGGAGAAAAGTTGTAAAAGGGAATAAACAACTTCTATCTGATTGTGTGGAAATTCTTTCATCAATACAGGTGGAAACATCATTCCCTTATGAGCACTTTAGGGTCTATAGTGACACTTATAACTCCATCTTCTTACCTCTCTCTCTCTCTCTCTGTGTCTCTCCAGAAAGACTGTATAACTCCAATGGACGGGACCTGAGGCGGGCGCTGTTCTCTCTAAAGCAAATCTTTCAGGTAACACACACACACACACACACACACACATATTTCACAAGCAATTACTGTCAGTGTGTGTTGTTGCAGAGCACAGTTGGTTATTGTGGCCACTGTGTGCTTCCATGATGACAGGGATCTCCATTTACGTGGCATTTTCTCTCCCTGTGTGTATCCGTGTGGGTGTGCGTAGGTTTCAGTGTGTGTGTGTTGGGGTTGTGTGTGTGGGTGTTTGCATTTGTGTTTGTGAGTTTATTTTAGAATGAGAGGAGTTAGCCATCTAAAATAACAAGGGCACTTTCTAAAGCGTCTGTACAAGAATACTCCTGCTGTATAATGACCATAAGCAATGACATCTGCGATGCAAATTCAATTTCTTGAGCATCATTCTTAATGTTTATGATTACATTTCAAACCGGTTTTGACCTGATGGCAGAGGCACTGAGACAATACTTTTCTTGAGAACTTTCTCCTCAATTTGACCGTGCACTTGAATGTAGCATTTGTTGTAGAAGTGATCTTCGGGAAGGACCAAACGTTTTCCTGCGAATTTCTCTTGTGATGTTGTTTTCAGAGATGATGTGTCAAAAGCAAGACATTGCTCAACACGTGGTTGCAGACATGTGGAGCATATTTGTTAGCTGGTTTGAACTTGTGGGTTGAAAGTTTATGTCATGTAAACTTGAGTCACAATCCTGACCATTACTGCCACCGTGTGGTGAAAAAAGAGAATTCTATTTAGTCGTCAGGTTTTTTTTTTTTTTTGTTGTTGTGGTTTTGAATGTAGACTGCTGGTGTATTCTGTGATCAATTTCTTTTTTTCTCTTTCAGGATGACAAAGACCTGGTGCATGAGTTTGTGATGGCTGAAGGTCTGACGTGTCTCATCAAGGTGGGAGCAGAGGCTGACCAGAACTACCAGAACTACATATTAAGAGGTATCTTACTCTCTAATGAGGACAATCAGAAAAAAAGGCTGTTTTTTTTTTGTTTCTCAGCCACAAGCACACGTAGTCATTCCTCTACAATCTTTTACAAAATGTTCACAAACATCTGTCGGGGATAATCATTTCATGACTTAAATAACTATGAAGTGTTTTTCATTCTGTTAATTGCCTAATGACCTAATGACTCACTATTTAAAGCCACATGATAATAAGGCAGCTATAAGAAGCCCTCACACTATCCATGAACAGAGCTTCCATTGTGAACTCCCCCAACAGTCCCAAACAGCCCAAAAACTTAAGAAAATACTGTATCAAAGGGCAATTACTGCTCATATTAAAGTCAGAAATATTAACATTTCTCAACGATTTCCAAGCATGTACATCATATGTGACAAAATTAGATTTTGCAAGTCTTAGCATATCTCTCTCTCTCTCAGCCCAATGTATATCTGGTGTTGAGTAGATTCCTCTTCCATACATGGAGTGCTCACCTGCACAATAGTGATTCCTGATGATGCTTTTGGCTCCCTTTAAGCTCGTTCCATGGTAGGAAACAAGCCATTCTTCAGGCACACAGAGCCTTCTCCATCCTTTGGTGCCCAGCCTCGTGTCTCCATCTGGATATTTCCCTTTGACCATTAGAGCTATGTGGCACCAGCCTTTAGGGCACTCATAAAGTTCATCACCTCTCGTACACCAAGACGAATGAGTCAGATTAGTGACGTCATAATTGTACTTTGGATCCAAAAGAATGTTCCTCATTAATGAAGAACAAAGTTAGCTTGTTTTTGGTTCAAAGTGATGCTGAAAAAAAGTCCTCAGTAGACAACTTGTCCTTTGGTTTTCCATGTCGTTGGTTAGAAAGTTGTAGGACTTGTCCAAAAAGGGAAGATAAAATAAATGTATTAAAATGGTTTAATGAAAGGCTGCTGTGAACAGGTGAGTCTTCAACCTCCATTTAAGAGTTTCAGCAGAACTCCAGTTTTCGGGAAGTTGGTTCCAGATACATGAAGCGTAAAAACTGATCGCTGCTCCTTCATGTCTGACTCTGACAGAAAGCAGATCTGTCCTTTAAGAAATCAAGAAAGAATAATAACAGTGTATTTAGGTATCCGTTCAGTCATGTATGTCCAAAAGTAGTTTTTTATTGATTAGAATATTTCTGTTTCTTATAAAGCCTGATTGTGTCTCATTCACAAATAAAGGGTCAGTTATCTTGCTAAATGTCTGTACCAGATATTACCTAAAAATACAACACTAAAATATGAGTCTAAGACTATGAATGTGATATCAGTACTTAGTATGTAACCTTGTATGTAAAATAAGCTGAGTACTAATTGATACCTAAGTCCTCAGTCATATTTACTGAAGGTGAAATATGAGCTGTACTGGGTTTTGACATACAGCGACAGATGACTGTTGCAGAGGGGGACTGCTGTGATGCTTTAAATATAACTCAATAAGAGGAACTTCTAACTTAAAGCTGAGTGGGAGATGTTTTATTCTGTCATCAAAAACTTCATGAATCTGTCATAAAGACAAAATGTAAAACAAAGAAGAACCCCTAATCACAGTAGGCCTCCCTCATCGCTATTGTTCTGCACACTTTTCTTTTTTTACAGAGTTCAATCAGCTTTCTATATGTGTTCTACCTCTCTGACTTTCTGTTTCTCTCTCTCTCTCTCTCTCTCTCTCTCTCTCTCTCTCTCTCTCTCTCTCTCTCTCTCTCTCTCTCTCTCTCTCTCTCTCTCTCAGCTTTGGGCCAGATCATGCTTTATGTAGACGGGATGAACGGCGTCATCGGGCACGTCGAGACAATCCAGTGGCTCTACACTCTTGTTGGCTCAAAGGTATAGCCCACATACCCAAAAAGACAAAAAAAAACAAAAAACAACCTCAACACACACATACACATTAAAACTGTGAGAATGCTGTCATCAGCTCTGAGCTGGCCTTTCTTTCTACGATGAGATTTATTTTTATCTGTGGCAGGCGTAAAGACAGACAAAAGCATCTGCTACACTTTGTATTCAGTGTCCTGTCCCCTAAGGGTTGGGCCTCTTGACAATTTTTTTGAATTATACTTTTACTTTGCTTGCAGATGTCCAAAATCTCAATTCAAGTCATAAAAGCAAATCACAGCAGTGAACCTATTTCTTTATGTTATATGTGAATTTGAGTCATTGCATAATTATGTACAATAAATACAGCACACTCTATCTCTACCTGTCAATCACTTCATCAAGGGCATTGTCAAGTCATTTGAACAAAAGCACACATGACACAGACTACAACATACAGGGAAAAATAGTTACAATAGATGTCTAAAGTATAATAAAATATTTACTGTTTCCAGTGTTTCTTGTCTTTGTGTGAGTCTGTAACTTTGTTCCTCTCCTTCTACTGTAGTTTCGACTGGTGGTGAAAACGGCTCTAAAGCTGCTGCTGGTGTTCGTGGAGTACTCTGAGTCCAATGCTCCTCTACTGATAGAGGCCATCGCCTCTGTGGACACCAAGACAGGTATGAGTAACCACAAGCTGCTGACAAACTCATTGACATTCACTGACTTCTACACATTGATGGGCAGTTAGGTACAGAGCAGCAACTTAATTCATGATCTTATTTGCTATGTCCTGATTCCCAGGCTGTAAGGCGTGGTCTAACACCATGGAGATCCTGCATGAAAAGGACGGAGTGGACACAGAGCTGCTGGTCTATGCCATGACCCTCATCAATAAGGTGTGATAGTATCTATAGTATCTCTGTATGATAAAGTTTGCTTTTTTTAAATTCATATTCAATTATTTTCTGTCCCAACCCAAGTTAAATTAATTTCCATTCAATGTTAAATGTAAACACAGATATTTGTTTGACAGCAAAATATTCCAAACAGGATTTTAAACACCTTGATGACTCTAACCCCGTTTATTGCAGACCCTTGCAGCGCTGCCGGACCAGGATTCATTCTATGATATGGTGGACGGTCTGGAGGAGCAGGGCATGGAGACAGTGACACAAAGACACCTGGGGAGGAAAGGCACTGATCTGGACTTGGTTGAGCAGCTCAACATTTACGAGGTTTGAGACATTCAAAGTCCGGAAATTCCAAGGAAATGCAGCAAGCAGATAATTAAAGATCAGATTTCACCAATGAAGTGCTGCACACGTGTTATGATCGTGACTCCATACAGTATTTATAGTGTGTTTGCTTGATACTCAAATTCTACTACATCACCATTCTGATTTCACACCCAACCAACCTTTACCCTCAGATGACCCTTCGGCATGAAGACGGTGACGGCGACAGCCAGCCTCCTCCAATGGGACGCAGGGATCGCCGTCGAGTAAGCCTGGGGGCCGGGGACAAAAAACGAGGCCTGGAGAGGAGGCGGAGCCGCAGGGCCTCTCTCGGGCGATCCGGTCACGCCTCCCCCTGCAGCCCTGCATCTCCTCAGAGAGGGAACTTCCAGCCTTTCAATGGACAGAGAGCCGAGGACATGAGCGAGAGGTGAGAGAGAGGAAGGAGGAGGAAGGAGTGTGAGGAGTCAAATTTTGATTCAGAAAGTGTCACAACAGAGCTGAGAGGAGAAGTGGTTTTTATTGAACCTTTAGCTTACCAGGTTTAGGCAGGTGTAAAATGTGATTTTAGTGCCACATATTTGATCCATATGTCCTCATGTTCATATATTAAAAGATCTGACTGTCTTGTACCAACACTTTCTGCTCCAGAGCACTGTCAGGTGCCCTACCATCCATGTAAGTTCCTGAAAAGAAGGTCAGCTGACCTCTTTAGTCCCCATGCTGATGTTTCCCAGTCACTGTTACTCACTTTCTTGCTGTCGCCAGTGTGTCCTAAGTCACATAAAGCACTTTAAAGCCCTTTTTCACAAATACACTTGCAGTCCTAAAATGTTTTCCAGCTTTGTCTGGGTGATCTGCACGGGCACATTCAAACGGCCCGGCTTTATCCGGAATATTTTACTGCCAGACACCTGATAAGAATAAGAAATTATTATGAGCCAATGTGTGAACGCAGGAATATATCCTTGTGAGTAAATTGGAAACACATTCTGAGAATACCATATTCTTTTTTCTGCCTGTATGTTGTGGCAAATCTGATGTAAATTAATTGAAGAATAATTTTCTTATCTTTACTGTCCAAGACATGGAGAGCTTAGCCCTGCTAGCACATTTATATCAACCCTCCCTGCCTCTTGAAAACCCCCCACTCCCCCAATGCCTGACAGCGAAAATCTCCAGCTGTGAGAAGCATGTAAAAAAAGTAAAGTCTAATTTTCAAGAAATATTCAGGAGTGCATGTGTGAAAGAGGCATCCTCATTATTTATAACAGACCACTGGTGCAGAAATAAGCTCAAGCCTTCAGGGTGTGCTTGTAATTCTAACACAAGCGTACACATCATTAAACCAAACAGGCTTGTTCGAGTGCTGTGTGTGTGTGTGTGTGCGCGCACAAAAAATGGGGTTGGAGCCGGCTGTATCTGTTATCCTCAGGTAAATCCATCCTGTCTTTCAATTACAGCTCTTCACTCACTTAATGTGCAGTCTTCCATCATATCTTCCAATCCAATCATTGTGAAACATGATCAAACCAGAATAAGCCAACCCATCTGCCAGTGTTGTTCAAATGTTGCACACTAGCACATTGTGTATCTTGGAACAGAAGTTGAAATGTACATAGTCTTTACAAAAAAAATCCATTTAAGTATGCTTTATTGAGTTAAATGATGGGTTAATGTTGTTTAGGTCAAAGACATTCTGTTTCATATTATATACACACACACACACACACACACACACACACACACACACACACACACACACACACACACACACACACACACAGGAAAAACAAAGACAACTTTTATTTGCCTGCTCATTGGTCAGACACACATGGCTCTGGTCTTGTGGAACAACACCTGCCAGCGGACGCCGACTCCACTGCAACAAGCCTCATCTGGTTTCACTCCACAAAACAGTTTGTGACACTGATCTCCAGTCAGTTGTTCAGCCCCGGCATATTCCCCTCTTTGCTTTCCTACCCCTCTTCCCTGTCATCATTCTTTTGTCTACTTTAGTGCATGTTAAACTCTTTACCCGGAGGCATGAAGTGTTTCATGAAAAACACACTCCCTTCTCTTACTTCATTCCTGTGTTTTTGTTGGCTTGATCCTTTGGTCTTTCCCACACCTCATCTCTATCTGATAAATCTGTTGTTTTTCACACATCAATCTCTTCTAATCTCATCAATCTCTGTCTCTCCTTGCCCCGTCTCCCAAATCTTTTTTTTGTATGTTGCGTCTGTAATCTTCATGTTTGTTGTGTTCATCTTCATTTGCATGTTTTTCATACCTATCGCATTATCTTTCCCTCAATCCTTTGAAATTTCCCCTCCATCCATCCTCGCCCCCTGCCCTCAAAGAGAGGAGGAATATGAGGAGGAAGAGGAGGATGAAAAGGAGGTGGAGCTAGAGGAGGAGGAGGAGGAGCAGAATCCAGTGACTGAGTCTGATTCGGATGAGCAGCAGGGGGCTGAAACAGTGTCTAAAGAGACCACCCCCAGGTATTTTTAGGACATGGTGGTTCAATGGAAATTGCATAATAAGGTTTTATATATCTCAAGGGTCTCTATTTTGCTGTATTTTGTTGTTGGTTTCATCTCATTGTGGTCTACAGTATGTACCATGTACCTGGTATTAATCAGTATGAATGCAGCACTCCGATGCCATTAAAACAGTTTAAGGCTGCAGTGGGGTAGTGCAACACTTTTTTCGTTTGTACAGTACAGTTATGTCTTCATCCATTTATTCCTCTCAATCCATTCCTCTGTTTGTAGCCCGGCTCGACGTCTTCCGTCCATAATTCACAGAACAACTGTCCAGTCAATCACTATCACGTCCAGAAAGGAGAGTATAATCGAGGAGGAGCAGAAGAATCGAACTGATCCCGTCTCAGCACCCACCCTCCACTCACCCCCTACCCCAGCCTCCTCCCCTCTCAGCCCCCCATCCCAACCGTCACTGCTGACCTCCCTGCTGGCCAGGAAGAAGTCCATCGTCACTGTCCCGGCTACTAAAGAAGTCAGCCCGCCATCACGTGGAAGCAACCGCCCCTCTCCTGACCGCCTGCCTTACCTGCCACACTCACCCTTCCACCTCTTCTCCTACGACCTCAATGAGGAGCCATCACCCCCGGCTCCAGTCAAACCCAGTGAGGAGTCACCCAAACCGACGTCTCCCAGGTCAGATGAAAGCAGAACTCAAACTCTCTGAGTACAAGGAGCACAGGAAGCATATCCTGGACTTTTTTTTACTTGCTTTTTCACTTTCCACTTCTGTTTCTGGCTTTAATCCCGGCATCACCTTGGATCTCTTTGCATCGCTTTTATTCTTCTTCCCCCCATTTCTACCAGTTTCCTATCACTTCTTTGACTTCTTCACAACTTTTAGTTCGTCAACTATCTTATCACCTTTTGTTTCTTCACTTGTTTTCTTTTTAGTTATGTCTTGATAGTCTACAAACGCGATCCCTACTTTGTTTCCAAGCACCACGGCTTCTCTTCTTCTTTTCAAAAACATCCCTGATGTTTTCACTGATGCCTTTTTCAACTCTTCACCTGTAGTGCCACTTCCTGCTTGTTAGCTTGATCACTGTCACTATCTCACCTTTACTTCTTTTACGTCACTGATTACTTGATATTGCAGGTTTAGTTTCAATGTGTGTTTTAAAACTGCTCTTTCTTGTGTTAAAGGGGACATATTATGAAAAGTCCACTTTTACAGTCTTTTTGAACATTTATTTGGGTAACCTGAGTGTCTACTGACCCACAAAATGTGAAATAAACCCATCCAGTCCTTTGTTTGTGGTCTGCATAAGTGTTACAACATAGAGAAAAATGCTCTGTTTTAAATCTTCTCTCCTTGTGATGTCACAGTGGGATTCTTGTAAAAAAAAACAAAAAAAAACAACCTCCCCTCCGCTGGTATTTCCACCCATAGACTCCACCTCCAGCCTAGAGCAAAAAAAAGCAAAGGTCCGCCATTTTTATTCTCGCTACAGAGGAGTGATGTCTACCGGGAAAACTCAGGGGGGGGCTCATTGCATTTAAAGAGACACACACCAAAACAGAGCGTTCTGAGAGAGCTGGTTTATACAGGGTCACAAACCTCCTCTGCTGCTTGATTCATGTTATATTTTGACCAAAGCACAGCACAAGATGTTTCCACATCCACACAGGAGACTGTGAAAAAGGGGCATAATATGTCCTCTTTAATGTATAGCTATTACATAACATCTTTGCTTGACTCATGTAACACATTGGCGGTATGATAAAAGTTCAAATCAGGTGCTATGATTTTCTGCCCTTATTTTTTTACATATACTTGTGCATATTGCAGCAGAAAGCAACCATGTGTTGAACCTCTAGTTAACAGGTATCAGATGACTCTATGCTTAAACTACGACAGCACACTTGTCCTTTGAAAACAACATTGTTCCATGCTAACACTGGCACGTCAAGGTAAGTACTTGTAAGCCCAGGGTCTTTTCAGATTCACACTGAGCTGTAAATGAGGAGAGACACCTTGTCTGGATGAACTCTACAGGAGTTACTAATAGGGGTCATCTGAGTGTTGCACCAACAGCATTGCTGTTAGGTAACAAGGTGTCACTTTCATTTCTCGCTACCAGTTTTGAACTGAGGAGTCAGTCAGTAGAGTGTCGTGAGAGGTCACTCACTTTCACCCATTTTCTCCCCCCCCCCCCCCTCTCTCACGCAGGAATGGAGGTGTCATGTCCTTCTCTTCTCTCAGCAGTTCAAGCACACCCACCAGCCCCAGGTGAAGCGAGTCAGCACTGACATGCACATCCTAAAAAACATGCACACACACATATAGTTAACATGTTCACATGCATGTTTTTATTCATGTGCAAACACTCACATGTATAACAAGTGTTGCCTGTGTGCAGCCACATTGTGCTGACATGCTGGAGTGATCTCAGCTCTTTGGGTCCTTGGTAACTGAGCGGCTCCTATTTCCTCCCTGGAGAACACGGTCATTAATACTCAATTTATGGCCTGTTACACACATACACATAACAAATTGTGTTGACGCAGGATAACCTGTCATGTTCAGGTCCAGTTTCAGCTGTTTGAAGTATTATATTGTATCAAAATGGTGCAGTAGAAACTAGCGGATGAAAAAACAGTAATGCATCAATCGCAGAATATAATCACAAAATAATCAATTAAAAATATTGGAAGCAAGATCTCATCTGTAACAGTTTTGAACAGTTTCCAAATCCCAAATTGTGGATTAAAATAATCTCTCTGACTGTGCGCTTGGTATCAAACTTTCCCTTTCTTATCTCTCTCATTCCTTAAGACCGGCTCTGGGTGGACTTCTGTCATCCTCTAACCGACAACACCAAGAATCTTTGGCGGCCGAGCGAGAGCGCCGC